AGGGGTTGATCCCTATCCTCATGTACTCCGGATTTTTGCGATACTCCGACCTCGTTGCCATCCAGTGGCAAGACATCCAATTCGACGATGCAGTCATGTGGATCCTCATCCCACACTTAAAAACGGACCAGGCTGGTCGTGGAACCTGGATTCCCATCGCCGCAACGACGGACCCTTGTTGCCCCGTGCGCTGCACCCAACGCTTCCTCCAACTCGCTGGCTATGGCCCTCATTCCGAGGGGTCGTTGATTCGCGTTTTCAGCCACGCTTCAGCCAACAAGGGCCAGGCCAAGCCACCCTCGTACACAACGATCCGAAACTGGTGTAAAGAAGCATTCGCCAAAGTAGGACTTGGGGAGCAGCAGCTCGGCACGCACTCCTTCCGAAAGGGCGCGGCAACCGTAGCCGCCAACATCGGCGTGCCGGACAGAATCTTCAAAAGGATGGGCAGGTGGCGAAGTGACACCGCCAAAGAGATGTACGTCACACCATACGTCGGACATCTTATCAAGGCATCCCGCGACCTACAGGACCCGACATACGCGCTGCCCCCAGAACAGCACGCAGAGGCACTCTTACGCAACCGCAAGCCACCACTGGCCATGTCTCAGAGGCCCCAGTTGCAATGAGAACGATGCCAAATTATAAGGACAAGAAAGCAAGCTTTCTCAATATTATAATTTTTAAACACATTGATGTTTTTCAAAATTGTGTATTGTGAAAGCGAAGCTGACTGTACCGAATATTTGGCAGCGTCGAAGCGCGCTAAACGCCCTTCTCCAACTACAAAAACCGTGGGTTGGAGTTCATTCCCTCCACCCACGTTTCTCGTTTTCCAACGGCTCAATCAACATCCCCACCACCCACCCCGGACCAACTACAAGACCACAGCTGCTTGGACGGACGACTCCATAGCTAGTAATATTTGCATGTACTAGCATGTGTTTACGAACGATGCATATGTTGTAATAAGCCAGTTGCAATGAGAACGATGCCCAGTTGCAATGAGAACGATGCCAAATTATAAGGACAAGAAAGCAAGCTTTCTCAATATATCACTGGTGACGTTGAAGAGTCCACTATGGAGGTAGCAAGATGATGATAGTGTTAGAATTGGGTTGCGTACATGTTTAGTACCGAATTGTACTCGACGTTAGCGAACAAGGGTGACCCTCCCTACCGACGGGCAATCAGTTAGTCTGAATTGGTTGGGAAAAACCCTCTTATTGTCAAAATGAGGAATGATGATGCCATTGATGTTAGTTGGGGTACATATAACAAACCCTAACTTCTGTACCCCCTAAGACAAACCTCACTACAGGCTACAACATTTGACACACCCCCATAGCCTAAGTGAGGGGTGTCTAGTAAAATAAAAAGAGTACGGTCACAAGACCAGTCCAAAAGAAAACAAAGCTCAGGGTGGATCACAACGTCACCACACTCTCTGAGCACAAGCAACAGTGGCCACAAGGCCAGTCCAAGAGATCACAAGTATATATAGCAAGAGTACAGACGAAGCAGGCAATAAACTCAAGCCTACACATGACTAGAACCTGTGTCAACAAGGCCTAACTGCACACAACACCTCTGGTGGTCACGAGGCGGAAGCGCCTTGGTGAAGATGTCTGCAGTGTTGGCCTCGGACTCCACAAACTCGAAGCGAGCCTGTCGACGTCTCTGCAACTCTCGCAGAAGAAAGTACCTGACGTGAATGTGCTTCACTCTGCTCTCCAGTCGCGGCTCACGACAGAGGAGGATCGACGCCTTGTTGTCAGTGAACAAGGTCGGTGCAGAGCTCGGCCGCTCACCAAGGTCGGCGAGCAAGAAGGTCAACCAACGCAACTCCTGTGCCGCCATGGCACCAGCGTAAATCTCAGCCTCAGCTGTAGAGGTCGAGACAGAAGAGGAGCGCGTGGAACGCCAGGAAACAGCTCCAGAACCCAGACTGAAACAGTACCCCTGAGTAGACCTGTGAGTCTCAGCGTCGTCAGCGTAAGAGGAGTCACAGTGACCAGTGAGTACGACAGACTGCTGCCCTCCAAGAACTAGCCCCACGCCTGATGTAGTCGCTAGGTACTTCGCCACCCTCACAGCTGCCGTCCAGTGAACAGGACGGTGTCTCCCTCGCGCAACAAAGCGCGCAAGGATGCTGAGAGGGAAGGCGAGGTCCGGGCGAGTACAAGTCATCAGGTACATGAGGCAACCCACAAGCTCTGCGTAGGGACCACTAGGCTCAAACGGCTCGTCAGGAAAGGGACCAGTGAGTCTGTGGTCAACAGCGAGAGGTGTGCGCTGTACGGTGGAGTGCTGAAGGCCGAACCGCTGAAGGACCTGCTGCACCATGTGTGACTGTGAGAGTGTAATGGTGCGAGCGGCTCTGTCCCTGATGATCTGCAGGCCAAGGTAGTGGCGCAGCTCACCAAGATCAGTGCACGTGTGTCTCTTCTGCAGTTCGGACTTCACGTCTGCCAAAGCAACCCTGTCCGGAGTGGCGAAAACGAGGTCGTCGACGTAGACCAGAACAAAGAACGGTGTGGAGCCACGACGAACGAACAGCGACGGGTCGGCAGAAGACGGCTGGAACCCAAGGTCAGATAGGGTAGAACGCAGAGTGTCGTGCCACTCACGAGGGGCCTGGCGAAGACCGTAAACAGGTCGCCTCAGCCTCCACTGGGTCCCAGGAGGGAAAGTGCCAGTGAAGGCCGAGGGACGACGCAACCAGACCTCCTCGTGTAGGCTGCCCTGAAGGAAAGCAGTGGAGAAGTCGAGAGAGTGTAACTCGTAGCCTCTCTGTGCTGCTACGTGTAGTAACACCCGAAGAGTGGTCATCTTCGGGGTAGGTGCGAAGGTCTGAAAGAAGTCAACTTCCTCGCGCTGACTGAAACCTCTAGCCACGTAGCGCGCCTTGAAGACCGGGGGAGATCCCGGTGGCCGCTTCACCCTGTAGATCCACATGCCGTCGACTACGTTCGCCCTAGGGGGGGGAACCTCATCGACGTAGGTGCCTGTGGATCTGTAGGAGGCCATCTCTGCGTCCATGGCAGCTCTCCACTGAGAGGCCCAAGGCCCTGACACTGCCTCAGCGTAAGTGCGAGGAGTCGGAATGTCAAGGGCGTCGGGGTCACCCTCAGGGGCGAGGAGCATGGCACAGAGATGAGGGGAAGCGGCCGCCAGGAACTCTAGCTCAAACTGCCTGTCCTCTAGGGCGTCACAGCCAAGGGCAGACACACCCCCGACGACCAGAGGACTGGTAGGAGGAGCAGTCACAAGCGTGGTGGCGTAGTCAAGGCGGCGGGTAGAGGCAAAGTCAGTAACCGCGGCAGTAAGAGCGGACACAGAGGACACAGAGACACGAGGGTGAGTAACAAGAGAGGCGAGAACACGAGAGAGAACAGGACGGGACATGCGGTAGTAGTCAGTGACAGGAGTAGGGAGCGACACAGTGAGGGCCGACTCAGGAGGAGACGGAAGCACAGACTGAGACGGACGAGGTGGACTAGAAAGAAGGAAGGCAGTACGAAGGTCAGTGAAGGGAACAGGAGACGAGGGACGAGCACGAGGGGAGCGACGAGTAGCCCAAGAACGAGACGGAGGAGGAGAGGACAAAGGCGGAGAACTGGGGAAAACAGCGGGGGAGGAGTCAGGAGGAGGAAACGTGGGACCGTAGACAGGAGGAGAGGCGGAGGAGGGAGGAGAAGGGGAGGGGAGACCAAGGGTCCGAAGACCCGAGACAAGAGGAGGAAGTGGCTGCTGCTGCTGCTGCTGCTGCGACTGCTGCTGCTGCGGAAGCGGCTGCTGCTGGGACTGCTGCTCCTGCGGGTCCCGCTGCTGCTGCTGGTGCTGCTGCTCCTGCGGCTCCAGCTGCTGCTGCTGCTCCTCCAGCCGCTGTAACTCCCTCTCCTCTCTCTCCAACGCCACCTGCTCGTCACGGGCACGGCGAACACGAGCCTGGTGCCTAGTCGGGTAGGGGTGGGGGGGCGGAGTAGTGTCCGAAGCAGCGGTAGCTCCAGAGTCCACCCCCGAAGAACCAGGCGCACCACCCCCAGAGGCAGCACTAACACCAGCTCCAGACCGAGGCTCGCCAGAACCCGAAGGAGGCGCACTCTCACCCCCAGTGTCCGCGCGACCAGCACCAGCTCCCGGACGACAAGAGTCCTCTGCACCCACCGGGTCAGCTCCAACTCCAGAACCAGAAACTCCAGCTCCAACTCCAGCTCCAACTCCAGCTCCAACTCCACCACCCCCAGAACCAGAAACCGGTACAGGAACAGGCGCAGCACCAACCTCTCGAGAGCTAGCACCTGCGGCACGCTGCGAGGAGGACTGTGGGGAGGGAGGCTACACCGGAGAGGCTACCGAAGGAGGAGGGGTAGCCTGGGACACACCCGACGGGGCTGGACCAGGGGGGGGAGGCTGTACCGGGGGAACAGGAGGGGGAGCGGCAGTCAGGAAGAGGGGGGGAGGAGGAACCTGGAGACCTCGACTGGGGTACCTGACGTAGTACGGAGTGGACTCCTCGAAACGGACGTCACGGGAGTCAAAGAACCGGTGAGAGGGAGGGTGGTAAAACGTGAAGTCAGAGGAGTCCTCAGGGAAACCAAGGAAGACACAGGGGACGGCACGAGGCGAGAGCTTGTCCGGGGAGGTGTCGCGGACAAGAGCCAAGCACCCCCAGACACGAAACCGCGACGCAACACCAGGGGACCCTGTCCAAAGACTGGTCGGTGAAACCTTTGGTCGAGAGACACGTGGCCAGAGGTTCAGCTGGTGCGGGCGATCTCCATGACCAGGCCTATGCGGCGCTCAGCAACCCCATTCTGCTGTGGGGACTCTGGAAGCGTCCAGGACTGACGAATGCCCTGCTCGCGACAGAATCCAGCGAGAATGACGGAGCGAAACTCACCCCCACGGTTGGAGTGGAGGCAGCTGACACGACGACCACGAGTGTCCTCGGTGGTGAGCAACCACCTGATCAGCGTAGAAGTCACCTCAGACTTCTATGCCAGAGGGAACACTGTGGTGTAGCGGGAGAAGTCGTCAACGACCACCAGAAAGTAGCGCTCACGCTCAGGGCCTAGACGAGGGGCGGGGCCCCAGACGTCCAAGTGAAGCGTCTCAAAAGGCTCGGTGGCCGGACGAAGGGAGGAGGAGTGAGGGGCGGCGCGCAGCCGACCCTCGACGCAGGGACCACACGGCGGCGCAAGCGAAGGCGGCAGCGACGGCAAGACACGTGGGAGGCCTAGGACAAGACGCTGACTAGACATAGCGCGCAGACGAGGAAGGGACGGGTGCCCCATCCGGTGGTGCCACAGAACGGTGGGGTGGGCAAGCGACCGGCAGGAGCACGACGCAGCGACTGGAGCAGACGTAGGAACCAGACACGACACAGACACCTGGGGGGACGAAGCAACCTGGTGAGACGCGGGGACCCGAACGGGGGGGGGAACCGGGGGCAGTGGCAGTAGGGGCGGCTGCTGGTGCGACCGCTGGTGCAGCTGCTGCTGCTGCTGCTGCTGCGGCTGCGGCTGCTGCTGCTGGTGCGGCTGCTGCTGCGGCGCACGCGGGCCAGTGTGAAGAGTGTAGAGACCTGAGCCCGGCTCAGCAGTAAAGGTAGCAAGAGGCTGGTAAGAGTCTCCGTCAACACACACTGCAGTCTCACCAGAAGGCTCAAACCACACACCCACGTGCTGACTCACGAGGGGTCGCACGCCCACCAAGTTCCGGGAGAACGAGGGGACGTGAAACCCAGTGAGAGACCCGGAGGGAGCAGCAGGACACGGTAAAGTGGTAGTGTGACGTGCAGTGACTGGTCCCGTAGTGGGATCAGCCAAAGCCACAGAAACAGGCGCAGGAAGTGGTGTAAGTGTCGTGCTGTCCCGGAAGAAGCAGTGTGAGGCTCCAGAGTCCAGCGTGAACGACAGTGAAGCGTCCTCTGAGGTAGTCGCTGGTCTAGAGTCTACACAAGAACCTACACTAGCAACAGGCAACTAAGCAAGACTAGCACCTAAGCTAACAACACCAGAGTAAACAGAGTCAGAAACACTAGTGTCAACAACAGCATACATAGCATGAGGAGCACCAATCAGATCAACTAACTGCTCAGCAGACATGCCCCACAGAGCGGAGCCGTAGCGCTGAACCAGAGGAAGCCAGTCAAGAGCAGGACCGCCAACCCCGTAGGCCAACCGGACCGTGTCAGTGAGCTGAGCAAAGCACTGACCAGGGGGGTGAAAGCGGCCACAAGGGTGGCCCCGACGAGGACCTGTCAGAACCTGATAGGTGCAGGGAGGGTAAGAAGCACCGCGCTGGGGCTGACGCAGCCCCGACCCCGGAGCCAGCTGCTGACGCTGCTGCTGCTGAGGCTGGCGGGAGGAAAGGGGCTGCTGCTGCTGCTGAAGGTGCTGCTGACGCTGAGCCAAGTACCACGCCGCTGCTCCACCTAGCGGGGTCGGCAGTACAGGAAGCGACTGACGAGCTCGGGGGTCGCCGCCACCAGCAGGCGCAGTGGAGTCACCAGCCGCTGCACGAGGGGTCTCTCCAGACGCTGCACTCCCACCACCGCCAGTCGCAACAGCACCCCCATTACCTCCGCTACCTCCACCTCCACCTCCACCAGAACTACCTTTCTTGCCCCCCTTGCCGCGGGACCGCGACGCAGTCGTAACAGCAGCCGCAGTCGCGTCAGTAGCGGCAGTGGCGAGAGAGGCAGTGAAGGTGGGTAACTGCGGGACTGTGCACCCGTGGAAGAGTGGGGGGGACACAGTACCAGAGGCGGCAGCTACCAAGCGAAGGTTGCTCTCGAAGTCCTTGAGTGCAGACTCAAGGACCTCGATAGTCAGCTCACTAGGGTGCTTCAGCAGAAGCGCGTCACGAACGGAGGCTAGGCGGTCAGGGAGATTAGTGGCGATGAAATAGACAGTAATCGCCATGGGGGGAGGAAGCAGTGCAAGCTGTGCCTCAGTGCAAGCAGCGCGGTAACTAGCGTCGAGCGAGCGGAGGTGAGCGATCAAGTCAGCAGAGCGCTCAAACGAGGCGAGATCAGGAAACAGGAACGGGAGGAAAAGACGGCCAAGAGAGACAGTAGCGGGAGTAGAGTAGCGGGCCTTAATCGTAGTGAGGTACGCAGCAGCGGTGCGAACCTGAGTAAAGTGGACCTCCTCTGACTCAGGGAGGAGGCTGCTGAGTGCGATGCAGGCCGCAACGTCACGCGACGTCCAAGCCGACCGGTCAGCGCGCTGACGGGCAAAGCGAGCCGTAGCAGCGTCGTCAGGGGCAGAGCCTAAAGCTGTAGGCTCGGGGGGCTCGGGGAGGTCACCAGTAGCGTGCGACCAGAGGGTCTCGCCCCCCTGGACCTGACTCTCTAACAGACGGCGAGCGCGAAGAAGCCAGACGGAAAAGTCAAGTGGTCTACCGTCAGCGTCGAAACGAAGAACTCGCGGAGTCGCCTTAGTGAGAACTAACGCGAACGAACAGGCGAGTAACAACCGGGGAGAAGAGGCAAATTAGGGTTCAGGTGGGAAGGGGACTCAGTCGCAGCGGAAGAGCGGGCTAGGGCGACGAGCCAGGGCGTAGGGTAGGGCGACGGGCTAGGGCGTAGGGTAGGGCGACGGGCCAGGGCGTAGGGTAGGGCGACGGGCCAGGGCGTAGGGTAGGGCGACGGGCCAGGGCGTAGGGTAGGGCGACGAGCCAGGGCGTAGGGTAGGGCGACGAGCCAGGGCGTAGGGTAGGGCGACAAGACGGGGCAGGGCGACGCGACGGGACAGGGCGACGGGACGGGGGGGAAAGGGCGGGCACGACGTGACGGGGGGAACGGGCGCGACGCGACGGGGGGAAAGAGCGCTAGGCGACGGGGGGAAAGGGCGCGACGCGACGGGGGGGGGGGGGGGGGGGGGGGGAAAGGGCGCTAGGCGACGGGGAGAAAGGGCGCTAAGCGACGGGGGAGAGGGCGCTAGGCTCGGTACTAGGCGCGGTAACAACGGAACCGGTACGAACGAGAGGTAGGATCAGGCTCGGGAGGGACGAACGGAGAACGGAGGAACGGGATCCCACAGGATCCTAACCTAGCTGATACCATGTCAAAATGAGGAATGATGATGCCATTGATGTTGGTTGGGGTACATATAACAAACCCTAACTTCTGTACCCCCTAAGACAAACCTCACTACAGGCTACAACATTTGACACTTATCGATCCCTACCTCTCATAGTCTCTTATTCCCCACCTCCTCCTTTTGCTCCTCGTACTGTATATGCGCTAGGTAGGAGATTTCTGGGGTTTGGTCAGACTACGGCGCACGGATGAGCGATCTGAAAAAACACAGAATCTGTCTATCAATGAATGCTGCCCGAACTGAACAAGAATCAGGTGGATACAACAGCCGAGTTGTTAAGTCTGGTAGATCTCAGGGAGTTAGTCGGAGTGGCTGCTTCCAGGTGGGACAGATATGGTGTTGGAAGTTTTTAGACGAATCCTTTCCTCGGACAATTTCGGTGGGCGTCCCACTTCAGGGTTCAAACCGAATCTGAGTTAATCATATAGGAATTCTGAGATTCTAGATGCAATCTACGTTTCCGATCGAGTGATGGATGGATGCACGCGGATTCCTTCGTCTACTAAGAAAACATACGAGCCAGGATCTGTCCGGAAAGGAGGATATCATAGAAAATTTTTGAGAAGGGGAAATAGAATGCAAAACAACAATAGCAAAAAAATCAACGTCCTGCTCTAAACCACATGAACAGAACCTGTACGGGCGCATCTGCGGTGCAATAAGGAGACTTCACCTGATTATGCTCCTGATAACCTTTCAGGTTCCTTAGTCGGCCACTGAGTTGCGCAACATTGTCCGGCTATCTCTCGGCTCAGGTTCAAGGACGGTTTTGCGCGACTCGCTCGATTTCCCCGCCACGCAAACACGACCCCTCAAAACTCCGCTCCCCCCTCCCCTCCACCCGCCGCTCGACCCCTATCACTCCTCTCCCCCTCCAATGCCCCTCCCCCCAACAACCCCTCCCCAAACGCCTACCCTACTTCCCCAGGCGCTTTCAGGTGCAATATTGCGCGACTCGCTCGAATCTCCCCGCAGCGCAATCCCAACCCATTATCACTCCCCTCCCCCCTATCCGCCCACCCCCCCCGGCTCGACCCCTTATCACTTCACTTCTCCCCCCTTCCCCTCCCCCGGCCCCCCCTTCCCCCAACACCTGCCCTACTTCTCCAGGCACTGAAGACCAACCACTCAGGTACAAAGGCTTCAAGCAACTCATCATTCTCAGAACACCCAACCTCAGCCCTGGGTATCGATAGTAACAGCCGTGAGAGATTCCATCTTAGATTCCTCTCAGATAAAGGTGTAAAAACGAATACGATTACGAATACGGTTTCTTACACGAATAGTTACCGAATAGTAAGCATTTTCGTATTTGGCCGAATAGATAGCTTGAAACGAATACGAATACGGTTCAAATAGTCGACTTCCATTCGAATACGAATACGAATACGAGTAGTCGGATTTGTCCGAATACCCAAACGAGTACGATGATGTTTGTGAACTAATACGAATACGAATACCCAACTTATGTGCACTACGAGTACAGGGTTTATCTCTCCCCCCTACCCGTCGTTTGCTCCTTAACTCTGTTGCGGTTTGCACTCTCCACGGGCACTGCCCCTTCATCATCCGTCTGTTTGTTGTTATGTGCTGCAGGAGAATCATAGGAAGACCCGTCCTGCGTATTTAGGTCATGTATGTTTGGTTTGTTACAATTAGTAAACAATGTCACAACAGATTGTTTCGTGTACTACAGAAACTGCTGTTTTACTAGCTCCTTCCACTGCTTTCAAAATTGATTGTAACTTCTGGTTTATGACAAATTCTCTGGTGTCGTGATTAATCTTAATATGTACAATGTACGGTCAAGGACCAACAGTTCACTTAGCTCAAACGTCTGTGGTTTGGCTGTCATATGATAGCCCGAAGTTCAATACCTGTCTGGTGCGCGCAGTAAAAAGTACGGATAATTGTGTAAGGCCTTCTCTGGTTGGATAACATTGTATACAATTTAGGTGTATACAAGTGTTAAACAACAACATTACAATTCAGAGAGTGGGTGTATGCTTGTGGAAAAGGGCGTTTAGATCCCATACCAGCACCAATGAACACAACTTAGAATCATGTATCCACTGTGGCTAGGTTGCTGGTATTGGCCCTAAACAAAAACAGAGATGGTATGAGTGTGAGAATGAAAGTGTAAACATGCCCCTTTCTGGTTTTCTTACAAGCTAGATTACACATGCCAACGAAACATTAATCAATGCACGATCCCTACTACAAGGTTCACGGAAAATACAACTAAACATGCATGATGCTATGCTCTTCCACTACTAAGTCTTACTCATCTACCCCAACTCTTCTACCATCTAGAAAGCATGTTGTTTGATGCCCATCAACCATCTACCATCTACCATTCTACCATCTACCATGCCCTATCTACCATCTACCATTCTACCATTCTACCATCTACCATTCTACTCATTAAAGATCTAAACATCCAACCCAATCAAGCATCTACCTCCTCTCCATCCTCCCATGCAAACCAAGACCTAAGGCACATGCATGCACGCATAGTCGCCGGACTTAGCCTATGCCTAAAATCGGTCATCATGTGCCTTGCTAGCGAAAATGCACGCTCCGAGTCCGTCGATGTGCCCGGAATAGCCAAGTAATCGCGTGCCATGCGCGCCACAATTGGGTATTTTTGCTCATGTTGGACCCACCACTCCTTGAAAGAAGAAATCGAACCTTTCTTCGTCACCACCCTATCCTCACGAAGATAACGTTCGAGCTCATTGGCACCTCTCTCGGGATCCTCTTCCCCTTGCACTTCAAAAATTCCACCAAGAAAAGTGGATGGGGGAACGGATATTTCGCTCGATGGTGCACTCATGGTAGAGCTCTCTCCCGTCCCTTCGTCACCACCGAAAGCATTCACATACTCTTTGTATGCTTTGGCCATGGTCGCTCCAATCATATCCTCACTCACATGCCCATTACTATCTTTTGCCCCCTTGGCATAGTACGAACGATTGAAGCGTGGGTCTAGCACGGTTGCAATCGTGTACTCCTCCGAAGAACGATTGTAGTACTTTTCCAACTTCTCCAAACCATCCTTGCATGCCCCCGAAAATTCCCCCTTCTTCTCTATGGTGGACTCCAAGGTGTCCATAAGAGAGTTCATCATGGGGATGCACAATGACACCGTGGCATAGCTTGATGCCTCCAAGATCCTTGTCGCTTCGGCAAAAGGGGAAAGAAGAATCTCAAGTGCCTCAAGTGCCTTCCATTCGTCATCCCTCATGCGAAATTGGGTTTCCACCTCTTCCCCCTCTTCCACAAGGTATGAATTTATTGCCCCCTTCACCACAAACCCTCTTTTTATCATTGCATGTGCACTCGACCATCGAGTTGGAGTATCGTGGGAAATGGTTGTCACATTCCCCAACTCCTTCTCTTTGCACTTGGCCGCGAAATTCTCATGCCTTTGACAAGAAGCGCCGATGTGCTTAGCAAACGCCCTCAACTTTTGCAAAGCACCATGCACATTTGGTGAGGCCATGATTGCCTCCACCACAAGGTTAACCACATGTGCGAAGCATAACATGTGGATATCCTTGGAAATGTTCTTCTCTTCTTTGAGAAGTGAGAGAAAACGCTCATTGTTGCTAGCGTTATCAAGAGTCACACCCATGACCTTCTCTCCAAGCCCCCATTTTTCAAAAACCGACTCAACAAATGCCTTCTTGATTGCCTCCCCCGTATGTGACCCTTCCATGAGAATGAAATCCAACAACACATGTTTGGTCTCAAACTTCTCAGCAAGCCAATGAACGGTCAAAGCCATAAAGGCTTGTAGGTTAGGAGCCGTCCAAATATCGATTGTAAATGACATCTTTGAAGGTACGGCTCCCAAACGGTCCTTGAGCCTCTTCACGTACGAATCGTACGTGGCGTGAATGTCATTCGTGACGGTCACCCGCGAAGGCATGTTGACCAATGGATTGAGGAGCTTTGCCCATGCCCTCAATTCCTTGCATTCGATCCCGCGAAACGACATCGTCCCCTTCACACAAATGCGAACCAATCTCCGCCGATTCTCCTCATCCGTGTACGGGGACATTTTCGAAAGGCTCCTTGCGATGTCGCCTTGGGAGGATCCGGCCCGTGCCTTTTTGTTTATCGATGGCGATTTGTCCCACGTCGACACGTGACAACCTTCCACGTGTTTCAGCATCGCGCTTGTAGTCCCACTCTTGCATTTGATGATCGTGGTGACCTTGGATGAAGCGCAAAGGAGGCATTTTGCTTGCTCAACACCCTCTATTTCTTCAAAGAATTCCCATATCGGAGCTGTTTTTCTTTTCACACGAGTCTTCTTGCCCCCCACAGCAGCGGCTTCGGGAGTAACTGGGTTCGCAACCTCCATAGCTGAATCTTGAACTCCATTACCAACTAAGGAAGACATGGTGGGAGTTTCCTTCTCCATAACTACTTGATTGACAGCATGTCTTGAAGATCGACGATAAACATGTAGGATGTGAATTGGTAAAAATGACCTCAGCTGGTCATGTTTGAAGGAATTTGAATGAAGCCATTGGGGAATAGAGCGCTCGGGAACATAAGTGTCGAATGAGTTTGCTCTATGGAATTTGGTCTGTTGAAATTTGACACTCTGTCTACGTTGAGTTTTCTGAACTCTTCACATGCTGATTTGGGGATCGAACCGCGTTGGTGTTGGGCAATTGTGTTTTTGCTGAGCTGTACTTTTTGTTTCCAACAGCGCGCGAAAACCATTCTCACGTAAGCAAGTGGTGCCACTAGGCTTAATGACTGGAAGTTGAGTCAGAGAATTTGAAAAGACAGCCCTATTCGTGGTGACATCAGATTGTGGGCTTACAACACCGTGTTACTGAGCGACACGTAACTCTGGAAATGTCAATTGACGTTGTCGGAGGTCTAAGTCGTGTCACACAGTTTGCAAAATCGCCGCACCGTCCGCACCGCACACACTTGGTTGACGTGTCAAAAGTGAGGCTCGTGAGGCTCGACTGCCAGAAAACCAGATTGATGCACGTACGTGTGCTGTTTCTGTCAGTGATTCTGCGTCACACACACCCATTGGCTTGACGTGTGGTGATTGGGAATGGT